TTTGCTCAGAGATTTAGTTCTGATCCTTTTACATTAACGTTTTTTTTTTTTCATCCTTCTGCTGTACTGAGTGCTGCTGTACATATATTTCTGGTATTTTCATTATGGAGGTTTATTCTGGGCTTTCAAGGAAACTCATACTTGTCCTTAAGCTGCTGCACGGCAACTAAGACAATGTGAATGTGTTAGAATGATGAAGTGCAACGTCAAGTTGAGACGACGACAACAACAAGTTAGCTGGTCTGTCTCTTGTATCCCGGAGTGCCTTGCTGCGACGGACCGTAGGGCTAAGAATGTAAACGCAGCAGTACAACAGAATTTATGGCCTCCCCAGCCAAAATGCTCTCAGCCTGGAGTCACCTTGTGACCAGAATCCCTCCTCCGATTGCTTCTCTTGCCCTGTGAAATGTCTGGTCTTGTCCAGTTCACAAGGGTTCAACAAAAATATATTTTTGCGAAGCCGCTGAAAGAAGCAAGCATAGATTTGTTTCAGCTGTGGTGAGACATGTAAAAAAAAAAAAAAAAAAGACCGTTGGTTAGGTGGAGTCTTGTATTTTCCGTTGCCAGTTCTTGTGTTCAGCTATCTGAAACTAATGCAACCTGATGGAGCAGGTCTGCAGTAAGTGCTACTTTCATGAAGATTATAGTGTTTCGTTATGGTTGAATCTTTCAGAGATGTAGTTTACGCTTCATGATCATTTTGGAGGCTGCAGTTTGTGGCGCGTTGTGTCCCAGTGACACCTGTTTCTATTATTGTGTCCGCCCCAATTATTCCAACGAAGACTGACTGAGCAGAAACGCCTTGTTTCAACACATTTCAGCAGCAAACGAACATACCGTCTTCAAAATGTCTTAATAGCTTAAATCAACCGCTCTCCAAATCATGCATGGCGGTAGGATTTATGGTTTTACTGGACTGCATTAATTCTAACTAAAAGACTGGCAGCGACATTATGTATCTGTCCCAACACTTCTTCAAGGATGGGTACATAAAAAACTGTCACTAGCGTCATTCTTCAGATTTCTTTCTACCATTTTTCTTGTTTTTGGTTTCGTAGGATGTTTGTTTTTTTATTATGCAGGATTGGGTTATTGGCTTGCCGGTTGGTTGGCTCTATAAGTGGAACATCTATTGCCAGGACTGCCTCTACGCTCAATTTGTGCTGCACCAGAGCCGGAGAATATTCTGGCTGAACCCACTAGCGAACAGATCAGGTCTGTTTATATTTCTCGAGTAGTTAAAGGCGGGACTAATCTCTGCAAAGCTGTGAGATGTTATTGAGAAACATTTTGCATGGCTGTCTAATGCCTAAATCAACCTCGTCCAAATGTTTTATCCGTATGCTGCTTGTTAGTTAGACCATTTCTGTGGCCCCTCTATAGAGTCAGGATAACTGCTCTCCAATCCTGTTCAAGTTTATCTCTCTGTTCTTCATTCTAGGGTGATCTGTGTAATGATCACTTGCAGCACATCCAACAGGATGTCCTATTTTGATCCAAATTATTTGGCCAGTTATTGTGACTGTTAAACCACCAACAGTAGTTCCCATTAACGGTGGCACCAACTAAATTGTTGGTGAACTAATGCTCATACTGCTCATAATGCTCATAATGCTCAACTAATGAATTAGTTGGTTTAATAGACAGATCTGTAAAACCAGTCACGCGAAAGCACCACTTTATATCTTGTGTTTATCAGGGATGTATGTGCACACTCATTTCTAAATAATTAAATCATTCTAATTGACTAAACAGATTTTATTCGACTAAGATCAACAACAGATTAGTGTGCTAATCAACTAAGAAGGGACAGCCCTTCTCACACTGTGCCTGCAGAGATCAGGATGCGTGTTATAAGTCGCCGCAGTTACACGTATTCACAGAACACCACCCATCTAACGTTAATGATGAAATGGTAAAAAGGGAAAAATTGGAGACAAACACATGACGTGATGTTCTATTCCAGGCAAATCATGTCAATGATGAGATGAATCAATGACTGAGTTTGTTGTTTTTAAAGTACGGACTGTTGAAAAGTTGCAGGGATCTGTGGCTCCTCAGCAGAGGCGCCGCTCACTTAAATCCAGACCAGCTACATGGGATCCTGTTACAGGTGTGTGTGTGTGTGTGTGTGTGTTTGTGTGACAGCTGTCAGCCCTGCAGCTGTGTAGAGGGGTCTCATCATGAACTGCAGGCCCACTCAGGATGGGCCTGGACGTGTCAAAAAAACGCCAACCATTCCCCTGCGTGTAACCTCCATAAGCTCCAGGAAGGGTCACGAGTGTGTGGGCGGGGCCCAGCGGTGGTTTACTCTGGCTAATGTCACAGATGGCAATCCCTCATCCGTGTGTGTGTGTGTGTGTCTGTGTGTGTGCGCAGACGGCTTTTCAACAGTATGCATTACAATCACGAATGAACCTTTTTTAAAATGGAGGTTTGCATGCGCGGGGCAGCATTTAGTGCCGGAGATCAAGCAGATAATGTAGCAAAGTGCTTATGGTGGTTTTTATTATTATTATTTATTTAAAGCATTAGAATGATTAGGGTGTGACTTTTTAAAAGGTTGTTTTAACGCACACTTTACCTCTAAGAAATATTGCCTCTTCTGTAATTCCATGTTGAAATTTGATACAATTTGGATTAGTTGTGCTTTCCCGTAGCTGCCACGTGATTATTAACCATAAAGTGACTGATAACAAGATTTGAAAGACTTTGTCTCAAGCTTAATCTCTCGGCCACTATGATAAGGCTACATTGGTACAATAATCAGCCGCTCTTGTATACCATCAGTTATCCAGGACACTAAATGAGTTGTGAATACATCTTTCTGAATGCGTAATGTATGCGCCATGCATGGAGAGGGACACACACAAGGCCACTGTGAGGCCTGTTGTGTGGCCCTGTGAAGAGTTCCTGTCACCAGTGACTGAACGTATTCTTCCTCGTTTTCTATGGTGCTAAGATGTTCCTTTCTTCCCCCAATATAGTTACTGTTTCTTTTGTGGTTTAAGAGAAGCAAAGGCTAGCTGTGCAGCCAGCACCGATTTGCTGTGTCATGTTTGGCTCAGTAATCGGTGATGGCTGCACAGTAATGCCAGTAATCAGTAGCAAAGTACCAGCAGCTACTGCAGCTGTTTTCCAAAGGACTCCGGTTGAATTTGTCTCAGCGGGGTTTTAGCATTAGTTAACCTCATTTGGAAAGCATGCTTTTTTTTTTTTTTTTTAAAGCTATGGGTTGGAATTTGGATCTTGTGATCTCATCGCCTCGGTCACATTTCCGCCACTCAGGCCTGTAATCAACTTCTCGACCATCCTTACAACCTTTTATGGAACCTGAAGTTCAAACATTAGTGAGGGTTTGATCAGCATGTTGCGTTCAGTGACCTTTGATGTTTGTGACGTCTACGAGTGCAGAAATAACACGTCCAAGTCTAATGCCGTTTTAAATCCACACCATCCCGATCCGTTAAAGCACCAACAGCTCTCTCTTCGTATTGTATTAATTCCATTACTACAAATTTCCTACTTAAGAAGTGTATTATTCTGCATTATAATGAGCTGTAACCATTGCTGTTCGCTTGTTTTAGTCTCCCCGCTAATAATCACACTCACGCTCTTTAAAGGAACAAAACATTCCTCTCAGTTCAGCTTCAAGTATTTTACAGGAGTGCATCTGAGTGCATGATGAAGAAATCTACACGGTAACAAGGTATGATCAGGGCATGGACTCCAGCTGATAATAAATCCAGTTAAATGCTTGACAGTCCTGCAGGACACGTGGACTTGAGCATGTGAGCCAAATTTAGTCCTTGAAAAAGCTTTCAAGTGTTTTTGAAGACAGAGACAGGTTTCTTATTACAATTTCTAAAGTATTTGGTCCCCTTTTAAAGCAAATTCTTGCTTGAGCGGTTTCAAAATAGTCAATATCATGACGTTCCTATTCTTTTTTTTTTTTTTTTCTTTTTCTTTTTTTTTCTTATGTTTTTGTCGCCAGAGTTTTTGCCATTGCAGTTGTCCTAGTATTTTGTTGAACGCGGCCGTGGCTTTGGGGATCACCACGGCCCACACTGTCGCTTTTGTTGATCCAGAGGCTGCTGTCCCAGGATGGATGTCAGAGATCCTCCCGGAGTAAACACGGCCCTATAAATAGAGCCGAGGGAGAAGCAGCCCAGCAGCAGAATGACAAGCATCCACATTACAAACCCCAGACTCCCTGCAGCGGAGGCCCAACGTGCCGTCCCTCCAAACCCGGCATCCCAACCGCTGTGGGTGCGGTGCGATCCGTCCCACCTGTCACCTTCGTTTGGCCAAACCGCTTCCTCTCGTTAGAGTTTTAGGCCCTTGGGATATTATCCGTCGTTGGTACGCTGCCATTCACGGTATGAAAGACGTGCAGTACTGCTGCTGTTCATCCATTGGGATGCTTGTCTGTCCCAGACAAACATGATATTTTGATCAAGCATTCTTTTTTTTATGCTTACTTGATTATTTTGGAGCCAAAACCGTACTTATATTTCCATCGATTTAAAATACTTGATATTCTCTTGCTGCTCTTTGTTTTGTACTAATATATTGGACAAAACATGACGCTTAGCTTGCATTGGAGCAAATATATGAATATGATTTTCCTATTTTCTGAAATGTTACATATTTAAAATAAATAATTTTCCCCATAACAAAAAAGAAAATGAACACTCTCCTAAAACTAAGCAGTTGTCAGGGCGCCAGCAGTGAAAACACTTTGGAGAGTTTGCAGAGTTTGTTGAAAATGTGACTTGCAACAAACCGGCTTACATCATCATTATTCTGCTGTCAAACAATGACCACCTTTCTGCGTTGGCATCAGAGAGAAGCGGTTCATTACACAGGCCTAGAGAGCGGCAGCAGATAAATGCATAACTAGTCGGCTGACTCATCTGGTTGCCCCATTTACCCTCCTCTTCTCCCCCCCCCCTCCCCTGCACCAGCGTGATTTACCATGACATCTGAATCGGGCGCAGACTCGGAGGCCAAGCAGCCGCGGGAGAACAAGGAGACTGAGAAAGAGAAAGGAAAAGCTAAAGCAGCAGCAGCCGCCGAACCCGCCTCGCCTCAGAACCAGCCGGAGCAGTTTCCCGCCGCAGCCGGACACAGCACCCCGGCCAGGAAAGAACAGGTCAGCCTCCTCATAACTACAGCATAAGAGCATGACCCTTTTAAAATGCACTCTTTCAATATTCTCCTAATACTCGTCCTAATACTCTTGTAACGGTGTGAACAACAGTGTAAACAATGTCAATTTCCCTTTTTAGATTCGCCTGAATTTGAAAAAACATCAATGCCATTCAGCCCGGAATGAATTGTGTCTTTGTGTGAGATGTAAATGAACAAAATAAAAACCGACGCCATGACCTCAGTGTTCAAAGCGGCGATGCAACGGATGCGTCTGTCCAAGTGAGCTTGTGTTTCAGTCACTGCTCTAAGGTTTTGATTTTGAAAAATGGGCGCAAGCATATTGCAAAATAGTGTTATTCCCAGACAGCTGATTTGACTGATTTACCACAGAACCATGTGAAGAATGAGTCGACGCAGATTCCTGTTTATTCCTTCGGCTTCTCGCTGTATCGAGTTTAAACATTTAGACCTCCTTCTTATACAATCAATCCACGCCGAGGAGTCAGAAGTCACCACAGCCAGATGTGAACAGGCCGTAAAAATCCGTGCTGCTTTTGAGATGTTTGGCCTTTCTTGTGATCTGCTGCTTGTTTAGGCATGTTAATGCAATTGGAGCACGCTCCGATTCACAGCACAACTGACCTACCGCTGTGGCTTTTACCGTGATGTGGGGAAATGGAAATATGGAAATGTTTGAGGGGAAGAAATGGAGCATGATTTGACACGAAAATGTAATGAGAGAGCAGCAGATCACGTCGAGAAGAACATCATCCAAACACAATGCAAGAAATCAGTCTTTTTTCTTTTTTTTTTTAAAGAAAATTACATTGGATAACATAACGGCAGACAATGTTTTTCATCAGAGTGCCACTTATACAATGAAATAAAATGCAAAAACGTCTCACTGGGATCACTAAGTTCAGCAAAGACAACAGAGAAGTCCAGTGGAAAACTACAATTAATGATTTGACTCATTACAGTCTAAACTCGCTCTCTCTCTCTCAGGAGCAGCAGGAGGTGGACCAGGTCTCCCACAGGTCCTCCATCAGTCGCCTCTCCCGGTCTCCTTTGAAAGGAGTGAAGAAGACGAAGATCATGGAGTGTAAGGTTGCCCTGCTGGATGGCTCCGACTTCACCCTTAATTTGGAGGTGAGCGAAACCGGGTGACGTCTTGTTAGAGGGCAGTATGTGCTTAACAGGGTTGATTATGATGAAAAAATTGTAATTAGAAAAAGGACCTTGCTGAAGCTTAACTGATAAAACCGACTAAGTCTAGTACCACAGTCTGTTTTCCCCTTTCTAAGCGTGCTTAATCTGGAGTGAGTTATTTGCTGCACTCTGTGTATGCAAAGCGAAACAATCAGAACATTCTCTGTCCAAAAAGGAGTGAACGAGGTTCAGGGAGAAGTTGCAATCAATTCGATAAACAAACATGTGGAACTATTTAAACCTGGACATCAAAACATAAAGAATCACGGTTGCCGGACGGCCGCAACTTTGAATACTGCATCAATATGTACAAATATGTTTTGTGGATTTCACTTAACATTTACATTTTCATTGTGTTCTTCTTCTCTCCGAAGCTTCTCTATCTAGCGTTAAGATATAGTTCGGTTTTGGTTCTTACTTCCAAGCAATACAGAAATAAACCGTCTGAGGAAAGGAGAGCCAACAATCGGTGGGAAAACACGTGTCTGTTTGATGTGAACGGGAAGCTTGCAACACGTGTCCCGTCACCCCCCTCCGCCCCTCCCCCCTCCACCAGCAGGATGGCTTCTATCATAATGTGGAAAGAATGAACGTGGAAATGGGAGGTTTTGTGCAGAGAGGAAATAAAGCAGTTTGTTTCTTAATCCTTACATGAGGATGCGCCGTTGAATATTCATTTTGATCTGCTGTCCATTTCACTAAAAGTTCAATGTTGAAAATGGAATTGACTGCGATGGCTGTATCACTACAGGGAGGCAACCACAATAAAGCCGTTGCTTTGCTGGATTTTACTGTACATATAGTTTTGTTCTGTATCAATTGCTCGGTGAGGCTATTTCTTATTCCAAAGCAGCGCCATGTCGCTTTGAGGGGAACAACTCTTCAGATTGTCTATAGACTTAAGTTTCCAGTGTTCAGAAGAGGCCTTCAAAGAAATGTATTTTTGTTGTAAATGTCAGAGGTGCACAACACAGTAGCTTCTTTCTGCCTTCAAACAATCATTCGCTCTCTTGGAGCATTATCAATTCAGGAACTAATCTGAATAGTGAACTTATTTGACATTTCACTTTTACATATTTCGGTCCGTCCCAGTGGAAAGTTGAGTCTTTTCTCAAAGTTCTTTTTAAACTTTGTTCGTTCTCAAAATGTGTACCAGATGCTCCTCCTCAAATCTGCTTCCGAGCAGATTCCTCCCCACCGGGGGTTTGGATGGAGGGATTAGCTGGCTGTTCTTGTGTCGCTAGTTGAGGGTTCAGACTGTGAAATGAGAGCATTTGTTGGAGGGAATCAGTGTCATTGAGTCTGTGGGTCGGCATGATTACTGGATGTCCCACTGTGACCAAGGAAAGATTCCTCAGGACGCTGGGGTCAGTCTGGACTTCTTGCCCTCCAGACAGTGGGGTTTCCTCAGCGCAACAGATTAGGGGCATTTCTTCAGGAAGGTTCACTTGATAGGAGAAAACTGAAATGGCTGCATGTTGAGATTGAGAATACCTGTCTACTTGCATACAATACGCTTGAAGTCATTATCCTTTATCTAGAGGTAAAATAAATAATCACTAATGAAACCTGCCTTCGCGCCCAAAGTAATTGACAGGTACTTTAAAAACGAGAAATGCAATATTTTCTATAATCAAAAATATTCTAAATCGTATGGTGCCCCCAACTTCCATGTGCAATGTTTTATTTACCCTTTTAATGGAACTCTGATTATTTTCCTTTTTAATGGAACTATGACTAACATAAAGTATAAAATGATTATACTGCGTATTTTGCTTTATTTGGCAAAACAAAAGCCTCTTTGGGATTGCGGTACAATAGTAAAATAAACCCATGACCGAGGGAGTGAATCAATGCAGACCTTCTCGGGGCACTAAAGCAACCTTGGTGTCAGCGCTGCTCAACTGTCTGGTTTTCATGTGTGCTTTTTTTTTTTCTATACGGTCGTGACGACTGGAAGCTTCGACTTCTCGAGAAAGAGCAATGATATAAAAAGCCTCAATGACGCACGGTTCATGCTGGGTCACACTGGGATGATAATGGTAGTTGGACGATACTCGACAACAATCACTGTTTCATACAATGGACACACAAAGACCCAAACTGGAAAGGTTTAAAAAAAACAAAAATTGAAAGGCTATTTCTTGCTTGCCCGATTGTCATCGAGTTGTAATAGCAACCAGTGTGACACAATCATGATGAGTCAGAGCTTTTCCTGAGCGAACAAATTGGGTAGCGGCTGAAGGTGAAACCCAGCAGACAGAAGATAGGAGAGCTCCTGGGGTTTGACACTGATGCAGTCGAGGTCAGGGCACTCTGGGATAATTGCCAGGCAGTCCTCTTTCCCTTCCCGATCCTTTTTGAAACTGGTGCAGAATGTCAAGATTTGACACTTTTATCCCTCTGACCTTTTGTAGTTTTTCCAGCTCAACTCTACTTCAAATCCCTGTCGGATGGAAGTCTTCAATCATCGTTCATCCCATGATTTTCTGTGACAAAGTACAGCTGAAACTAGGGTGAGATGTGGGAATTAAAATCCCACGACTCACCCTCTTGAATGCACGTCTCCATCCCACCGCTCGCGTACATGACAATGCACACGAAGTGTCTCCTTTAAGTTTAAATTTATGGATTAGTTGAATGTGCAATTCAAGTACAGTTAAATGGATATTTAGAATAATTTCGTTTCACTTTGAATTCCTTGTTTGGTTCATGTAGAGATCAAATATCCTCCAGAGCTCACTCTCTTGAACAACCCGAGGGAAGACGGAAAACAAGGCAGATCAGTCTGCCGCACTTCTGACAGATCTGCTTGTCGGGGCTTGAGCACTGTTTGAGGAAACACAGAGGTGTGTGTCTGTGTGTTAGTGCTGCGTTGACAATCCACTGTCACAGCGGGGCTTATTCCCTCAGAGATGTTCTGGTGGGATTAACTCTCTCAGCGGCTTTATGGTTCTGTTAAAAAAAAAATTGTCCTCCTAAGAAAACGACCAGTGTGGTGAAAGCGTGTGGGTGGACTGTGGTGTAAATTCACCGTATGTGTGTTATGGCTTGCTTGTGGATGTGTGTGTTTTGTTTCCATCTGGACCCCCATGTCATGGGCTACATGTGAATTTGACAGACGGTGTGTTATGACTCCTGCTGCTACAATAAGCCGCGGCATTCAGTAAATCCAGGCGCGAGGAGCCGTCTTTAGCTTTGTGCAGGGAGGAGGCGTCTGTGTTTGTGGAAGCTCAGGCCTTAAAATATCTCATGTGACCAGATGAGTCTGTGAAGTCTAACCGCCTCCAGCGGGGGAGGGGGGAGGGAGAGAGATAGGGAGGGAGGGCAACAGCGCTCGAGCCACTGAGCACTTAGCCAGAGACATAGTGGAAGTTTTGATTTCATAATGCGTTTTCTTTCTGAAAAGAATGTTGTTATATATGTGTACAGTTATCTCTGGGTTATAAATCAAATAAATAAAATTACTGTATGTTGTTATAATGTCACGTTATGACGTGTTTTGTCTGGATAACTGAAATATGGTGTAAGATCACAAATGAGAACAACTCTAATATATATATATATATATATATATATATATATATATATTAATTATACACACACACACACAAGTTTGGTGCTATGATTGTATTTAAATGATAGCCTTGTTAATAAAACAATGTGAGGACTTCCAGTATAACCTTTGTTAAATAGTTTTATTTATTTGTCACAGAAACGAGCCAGAGGCCATGTGCTCTTTGATAAAATATGTGAACACCTCAATCTACTGGAGAAGGACTACTTTGGCATCACCTGCAGAGATGTAGAAAATCAGAAGGTAAATCAAAACCTTCTAATGTGCCAATCAGCGTTTATGAAATCATTATCACAGTAAGAATTGTATATTAAAGTAATAATTTAACAACAACAAATCTGGTTGTGTTGCAGAATTGGATAGACCCTGGCAAGGAGCTGAAGAAGCAGATCAGGAGTAAGTAATCTAATAAAGCCACTTGAGTATTTAGTCTTCAACAGCCAAACAGGGTTGATGCAATTTAAAAATGCTGCTTTGAAAACCCAATGTTCCTTCTACTCCTCAGCCGGCCCCTGGAACTTTGCTTTCAACGTTAAGTTTTATCCTCCCGACCCCGCCCAGCTGACTGAGGATATCACAAGGCGAGTAAACCACTTATCTACATTTCACTATGTGTTTGCACATTTCATTCTTCTTTTAAGCGGAACCTGAGATCCATTGTTATCGATGTTTTTTTTTTTATTTTGTTTTTTTTTGTATGCATATTGAAAGGAAAGCTTACATTTTATAACAAGAGTAAAATAAGTTTACCGCTTTATTGCCTCCTCCTCTCAGGTACTACCTCTGTCTGCAGCTGAGAGATGACGTGGTTTCGGGCCGTCTGCCCTGCTCCTTTGCCACCCACACGGTGCTGGGCTCCTACGCAGTGCAGTCCGAACTGGGAGACTACGACCCCGAGGAATTGGGCAGCGACTACATCAGCGAACTGCGTTTCGCACCCAACCAAACCAAAGAGCTTGAGGAGAAGGTCATGGAACTCCACAAGACCTACAAGTTAGTCTTTGCTTAATTTGTAAGAAGGACAGAACAAGGATTTATTTATTTTTTTAGAAAGTGAGAGGAATAGTCAATATCGCCCAGTCATAACCACCATTGTTTGTCGGCTGCAGAAGTAACACTGCGGCAACCAGTGGACAACGCCCACAATCTGCGGCAATGTCTAGTTTCATCCTATGAAATTGATTAATAGTTTTTATGTGCTTTTAAGCCCTGAATCTGAGAACAACTCGAGTGAATGATTACAGCTCTGATAGGCAGCATGTCTCCAGACATCAGAGTCCTGTTTTTGTTTAGATGGATATAGATGGCTGTCTTTTTGTCTTAGACCTTCATTGTCCCTGTCTGAATAATTTAATGCAGTCCTCCATGCTAACTATGGACGAGCTTCAGTTTATAGCTTCCATTAAAACGATCATTTTCCAAAAGCTTTTATGCAATAAAAGTGATTCATCCCCCTCTCACTGCCTCTTCACATCGGTCAGAGGGCATCAAATCTTTTGTTGTGTTTGTCCTTGTCTGACCTTTTCTGTTTTATCAGGGGGATGACGCCAGCCGAAGCAGAGATACACTTCCTGGAAAATGCCAAGAAACTGTCCATGTACGGCGTGGACCTGCACCACGCGAAGGTAACAAATCACTACCAAAGTACCAAATGAAAATTAACATGGTTTTTGAGAAAGCTCAATGCTATTTAATTGGAAAACTCTTTAAGCCTGGTAACCACATTCAGTTGTTCTTAAAAATAGAAATATTTAGGGAATGTAATGTCTCGGCTACAGTGATTCTTTTTGGGCTAAAATGCATTTTGCAGCTGCACCATTTCCACCACAACCGACACAGCTTTGCTCCTGTCCGTTTCTCACAGTCTGCGGCGCTCTTTATACAGAAAGTCCCTCATACAACTTCCCTTTTAAACAATGTGTTTTAAGAAGTCACATGATTAAACTGTTATTATGCCAGACAAAACCAATGCATTTCACTCATGCAGTCGAAAGGGACGCTTGCCACCACAACACCGCTGCTTGAAAAACATGCCGGCTGCTGCAGTAACGCCTCAGTTTAACATGCCCCTGTTTCACTGATTGATTGGCATTATGTCAACACTGCTGCCTCTGTGGATTGGGTGGGTGGCGGCGGTCTGGGGGTCGGCTTGATTTGTTTTTTTCTTTTGGCCATTTCTAATCCACCGGCCAGATGGGATCAAACGAGTCATTAGAGCACCGGCAGAGAGTTGGATGGAAAGTGCAGGACCGCTGTCAACATAAAAGAACATTACAGTCATCAGTTTCGTTATCAAAAGTGCTTTGATAGTCAGAATGGGTGTAGATGTGAGTGATGGAGAGGAGATTGCCTTCAGCGATTTAGATCAGAATAGAGGAGATGACAGATGATGAAACGGCCTTAGATCACACTGAGTAGACATCAACTGTTTGATATAGGAGTCTGTTCTGAAACACAAGAAAAGTATACACATATCAGACCAGCATCCCTATTTGTCTTCTCTCCTCTCTCATTAAATGCAAAGTTGGTAGGGAGTTGCTTGGCTCCATCTGAGGGAGAGGTAAGATGCTGCATCTCATGTGCTTACCCGCGTTTGTGTGTGTTTGGTTTCTACTCATGCATGGTTATATACAAGTATATGAGTTCTCATTTCAACACTCTACTAAGTCCGATTGTTCCTGCTTTGGACCGTCGCTTCCCCCTTAAACGTCCGCATTGGTTTCACCTGCTCATCTCGTGCTTTGTGCAGTGGAGAGCATCGTTTTGTGCTTCATTCACCATTTCTCAAATGTTCACTGGTGCTTAAGCCATTCAGTGCTCCTTTTATTAGTCATTTTATAACGTAACCACAGCCTGCACAAAGAAGATAAGAGTACCACATGCCTGACTCCACTCTCCTCCACCTGCCTGCCTTACCCTGTTTTTATCACAAACTGTTAAATTCTACTTTACCCTGCTGTGCACTGGCTCCTGGACCTCCTCTGTATCCCGTATAGTTAATGGAAGCCTAAACTGTGTAGAGCACAAAAAGAAGAAAGTGTAGCCAGAGGCTTCTTCTTTGAGATTTCCAGGGATCTTTCAGAGTGAAACATTCCGAAGGAATATTTGTGTTAATATTAATTTTTTGGCCATTTCCTGGTGTGTGTCGTTTTAGGACTCTGAGGGAGTGGAGATCATGTTGGGAGTTTGCTCAAGTGGCCTGCTCATCTACAGAGACAGGTTGCGAATCAACCGGTTCGCTTGGCCCAAAATCCTGAAGATCTCCTACAAGAGGAACAACTTTTACATCAAAATCCGGCCCGGCGAGGTGAGCGCAAAAACAAGCATTTCAAAATGGCTGAGTAGAGCCGGGGGACCATCAAGGCGTTTTATTTACTAGGTATCTGCTGAACTGCTGGATACAGCTCAGAATCTTAGTTTAAGCTACGCCAGGCTAACCATAACAAGCCTCTATTTTCAGGAGCATTTTACAGGTGCAGCCAACGTCTGGACCCAACATAAACACTGAATTTACTTGAATTATGTTTTATGAAGGAAATGCTCTGATGCTGCATAGTAACTTAGGGGCATGCATTAGTGTAATATGTGGTGAAGTTAACCACAGTGTTTTTTTCCCTGTTGCAGTTTGAGCAGTTTGAAAGCACAATCGGCTTCAAGCTTCCAAATCACCGCGCTGCCAAAAGGCTGTGGAAGGTCTGCGTGGAGCATCACACCTTCTTCAGGTGAGAAACCAAGGACCTCTTGAGCGTTTGAAGCTGCTGAAAGTAGCTTATGCTTATGCATAAAAATGAAACTTCCCTAACTGAGATGCTATTCTGTTGCCCTGTTCTGGTATCAGGTACATGGCGACTTGCAGGAATGAACAATTTAACATTTCCCTTAAAAGCAAGAAAAAGTATGAGCCGTCTGCACAAGCTACTCTGCTTTCCGTCGTTAGCATCCTCTGTTGTTAATAGGTCACCATCACTTCGCTCCTGTAGACAAGTTTACAGATGATCATCTGGGATGATTTCTTTGTAGAGAAATAGAAGCAGTGCTCTCTAATTGTTCCCTTTTGGACAACACGTGAAGTTGCTTTGCGCTGCTTTAAGCAAAAAAAAAATTGGTCCCTCTGGGTTGTTTTGAGTAACGAGCCAAGACCGGCGGCCTCTCTTGAGGCTATTTAAATGAGTAGGAGTTCTCATGTTTTTCAGTGGACAGCTTAATTCATACTATTTCTGCTTTGATTAATGCTTGTGTTTGTAACTCGTGACAGGCTCGTGTCCCCCGAGTCTCAACCGAAGAAGTTCCTGAGCCTGGGCTCCAAGTTTCGCTACAGCGGCAGAACGCAGGCTCAGAGCCGCAGGGCGAGCTCTATGATCAACAGACTCGCCCCGCTCGTCGAACGCTCCTCCAGCAAACGCTACAACATGTCGCTCAGCTTAGATGGAGGTGAGGAGCAGTGCGTCTGTGACCAATGTGTTAATTTTTCCCCCGGTATTTACTTTAAACTGCTTTTGTGTCGAACTACACACATTTTTAATTTGGGGTGTTCCCTATTGAAGTTGTGCATTTAGCTTGTCTGAGATTGTGTGTATAACCTTTGTCCCTAAAGATGCTGCTGCTTTCTGCATATGAACATGCATGTGGTGCATGTCTTTGTCTTCCTGTCCTTTCAGCACCAATCGCGGAGAACCATGAGACTCCGATGAAGGACAGTGCCGCTGCTGGGGCGGCCAAAATCCTTACTAAGGGAGACCTTATCACCACGGTGACGACCGAGAAAAAGGCAGAGGAGGAGAAGGCGGAGCAGGAGGACGCTCCGACGGATGCCGCAGAGACGCAGGAACCGACAACGCCGCTGAGACACGACACAAAGGTAAACTGCTGCGGTACCAGTTCAGCTCAGTCAGAGCTGCTCCTCATTTGGACTCTGGGACATTATAGAGGTTTTAAATGTGTTTTCTTGTGGTTCAAAGAGTGTGATGATGATTGGATGTGTGCAAATATGTCGTCAGGTTGTCAAAGAAACAGAAGATGTTTCTTAGAAGCTGATTTGATTTTTTTTTTATTTTTTTTTATGTCCCTTTCTTGAGATTTTGGTTTCTTTGTCATTTGACTTTTTAAAGGCTGATGATAATTTCCCAGTTGCTTTCAGCTTAACCCACTGCAGCAGACAAGGCCTAAGTGCTTGTTCTCATCCTGTGTGCGCTTTACTAATTAGCTTTTCTTTTCTTTTCTTGTCCTTCCTTTGACCCCACACTATACTTGTGTGTGTGTGTGTGTCTCTCTGCTCATGCGTATTCGCCACCCCCTCCCCTCCGCACATCTCCATTTACACACACTCTCTTCGTTGACATTTCCCTCCCATCAGTGCTCCTCCCATGTGTACACAACCGACCCCCTCCGCTCAGAGCTCTCACTCCCCTCATCTCCCGTGTCATCACCTAAAGTACGGCGGAGGCGCAGGGAGAACGCGCGTAAACGGGCCTCGTCTGTCAGTCCGGCCAAGAGCACCGCCGGGTGCCGCCGTCGGCAAGCCCACGCCGACCGCAAGGCCGCCCTGCTGGACGAGCAGGTGCTGCTGCTGTCGGCTCGCAAGCAGCGGCTGGAGCAGGGCAAGAGCCGCGGCGGCACGCTCTTCTCCTTCTCCCTGCACCTGCCCGACCTGTCCTCCTTGCTGGACGAGGACGGCTACATCTCCTTTCCCGACCTGTCGGAGATGCGCTTCCTCCCGATGTGCGCGCAGAACTTCATGGCGATTAAGTCCCCGTCGCTCATCCCCTGCTTCCTCTTCATCTTCTTCTTCTTGCTCTCCACCTCCTTCTCGGTGCCGTACGCCCTCACCCTCTCTTTCCCCCTGGCGCTGTGCCTCTGCTACCTGGAGCCCAAGGCAGCCTCCCTGACCGCTTCCATAGCCCAGGGCTACCATGACCATGACAGTTCAGAGGAAGAGGAGGTGTGTGTGTGCGCGCGCGTACGTCTGTATGTTCCGGTACCCGCCTCTGTCCTTCGATTGACAGATCATTACCGCGGTTAACCCCTATTATCCTTCCCGGTAGAGCCGACCTGGAGACCGTCTGTCCCAGTGTCTGTCAGTTGTCCTACTTTCAGAACCTCATCTCTGCCCGGTCACACGCTCATCCTGTAGACCACATCCTCATCCGCATCACACGGGGACGCACCTTCGAGTCCCACCATTTTCATTTCATTGATTGGCTTGCATTTGATTTTACCTTGACAAGCGGGTTGGACACAAGAGACTTTTTACTGGGAATTTGTCTTCTTGAGACATTGAAAACATGTTAGCCATCACTAACAAGTCAGCTTACAATAACAGTCGTGCACTGTGGAAAACAGTTAATTGTGGCAATATTTCAATATTCGACTCAGTGGTAATTACAGGTAATGATAATTTAAAGAAAGTCTTCATTTGGTCCCAAATTAAACAAAGTTTAGTGTCTAGTTGCTCTATAATTTAAAAAATGCTAAATATCATATTTTAAAGAATGCTAAAAGAATGCATGTAAAAATGCTAAATATCTTATTTTAAAGCATAGTATTGTGCTTAAACCATCTCAGTTATCCAGATTCATAGTATCACAGTGTAGAAAGTGGTTGCTATAAAATCAATCCACTGATGCATGAAACATGCACCCAGTCTCTCTGCAGTGAGTCAGACAAAGCAGCACAAATTAGAATCAATGATTTCAATTTGATTAACCGAAAAGGGCTAAAATAAGCTGACTGTAGAGAAGATGCTTTTATGTTCTCAAGTAACATCTTTTTGAATCACAGATATACTGTAAGACACGGCGTGTTGCAGAGAGATTGTGACAGTTAAATTCACCCACATTACCGCTATTGTCAACATGCATGGAGAGGAGGGAGGAGGGCCTGAAAGTCAGGTTACTGTTCGTCATTTTGTTGTTTTACTTACTATGCAGCACACAGCAAATGTGCCATGCACACATATATATATATATATATATACACACACCAAGATTAAGGTGTATCAAAATCCAGATTAAATTAACTAATACACTTTAATGTCAAAGTGACTGACAAAAGGTTCCAACTTCCTCTGAGTCTGTTTTGCTTGCCTACTTTTCATTTGCTTTTTTTTTAATTTTTGTTGTTCTCTTCCCAACCTTATCAGCAGTGTTGTTTGATAACGTGTGACTTACAGAAACAACCGGTGTATTTCCATTTGTGGTTATGAAGAGTCTGATGTTAAATGCATTTTTAACGGCTTTTACAAGTTGGGTTCTTGTTGTTTTCTTGCTTGCCACTCGGAACGGTTTCGGTCTGCTTGCGAATGCAGACTGACAGTGAACAAACTGATTTTGCCTTTGATGGGGAGATGACTGCCACGGAGGTTTGTACATCGTGGAAAGACTTAATATGAAAGGCATGACAACGGGAAACAAAGTATTAAAACACTAAATAGAATTTGTCTACAGGAAGTTGTGCATGCGACGCATGCTTTTCGTCTCGTTACGTCCACTTGCAAAGCATTAAAAGAACTTTAATGTTAATACACTTTCTATGTATGTTCTTAATGCAAAGCATTAAAAGAACTTTAATGTTAATACACTTTCTATGTATGTTCTTAATGCAAAGCATTAAAAGAACTTTAATGTTAATACACTTTCTATGTATGTTCTTAAGTATTTCTTTACCTAATATCAATGTGTCACAGCAAAGAAACACATTGTTTAATCCATTCCTCAAGCTTTTGGGGTTTTATTTTAACTATACGCACACCAATTCAACCTGTAGAGCAAATTGAAGCTCGGCAGGCCCGCCGTACCTAGTCATGATGGCCACGGCTATGAATCCGCATATGCAGTTTGGGTGTACGTGTTTAGCAAAAACACTTCTGTCTGTCACAATACTGTCACAATATGTTTTTTTTTAACTTTTAATTCAACCACCACCTTTACCCTCCCGTATGTTGCCGCTGCTTTCTGCTCACTCTTCTTTCTTCCCGTTTTAACGACCCTTCTCCTCCTTGTCTCACACGCTCTTAACGTGCTGTCAGTCGGACGCAGACGACGACTCTGAGATGCGGACTCAGGTACACTGGGCTCGATACATGTCCCTGCTCAGTGCATCGCACCACCGCCGCCGGCAGATGCAATGAGCCACTTTGTCACTGTGTGCCGTCTCTCCACCTTGGCTTGCCTGCCGCCGCTTCCGTGTTCATGTCCAGACCAGCAGACCACCCAGCAGACTGACCATTCCCTCTTGCCTAAACTCACCTCACCGACTGCTGCTGCTGCTGCTAAACTCGTCCATCCAGCTCATTTCCAAGTGTTGTAGATGGTGCAGTCGTGTTTATTATTTTATAAGTCCGATTTCACAGTTTTGAAGTTGTTGTTTTGTTATCGCTTTATGCCGTCAGGGCATTCACATCTATAGAGTTGAAGACAAAGCTCCCAGTGTCTCAGGAGTTTAAATTGACCATAGCACCTTTAACTACATTTCATGTCCTCTCTTTTGTCTTTACAGTATAGTTTCATAAGACGAGTAACTGGGGAAAACGTTTTTATCAGGCATAGTAATCTGATGCTAGAGGTTGGTAAGAAAACCTGCATGCGAGTGCTTTTTGTTTGATAACAATACATCTTAACGTACCAGTAACTGTTTTCTCTGTGTGAATTAAAACTATTAGATTTTAATCTAAAGGATTTGCTGTGGGCATCCAAATACACTCGTGTGAGAGATAAAGTATGAAACTGAATCAAGTCAGTTTTTGTGGAGGTGTTAACTTAAAATGACATTTGGGAGTTTTTGTGCTGAACTAAAAACCTTTTACAACTCAATCTGTGAATCTGCATGAATATCATAACCTAAATATCCTAAATGCTCCTTAAAGGCATTTAAGAACAAGCTGCTTCTCAGTGGCGGCTTCCTTGCGAGTGGATGTGTTTCCATTGTGTTGCTGTTTTGTGTGCGCTGTAGCTCAGGTAGCGATCAACAAACAATCAAGCGTTCAATGCAGAGGAGATTTTAGGTCTGCACTGGTTGATCGTAGACCTTTTCAGAACGCATTTGAGGTTTCCCAAAGCTTCTTTTTTTTGTGTGTGTGGTGGCAATTGGTTGGATATGCAAGCTACCATTGCCTACATAAAGCATGGCCGTCGTTCCCTCCGCGCCGCTCCCGGGCCTCACCTCACCTGTGTCGTGGTTGAACGGCTCCCGTAGGACACCTCGCCTCCGGAGGAGATGCTCAAACACCAGACCAACATCAGCGAACTGAAGCGCTCCTTCTTGGAGACGGGCGAGAGCTCGCCGGGCCTGACGGAGTGGGAGAAGAGGCTGTCCTCGTCCCCCGCGCACTCGCCCAGAGGGGACGAAGCGCCGATGATAGAGCCTCTGGAGCTGCAGGATGTAAGCCGCGGTCCTCGGGCCGGCTGAGTGACGGCGTGTGTGTGTGTGTGTTAAGAGATTTTTGCAGAAGCAAAGATCCATCTGAAGTTTGCGTAATGAGTCATAGTGCGGTAAATTCGGTAATCGCCAAAAAGTCTGCAGTGCATTTTATACAGAAAATGATCCCTGGTGCATATTCTTTTTATTGTATTCTTTGCCGTTATCCCTTCGTGTCTCCAATAGATCTCACCAGCAGCTGATAAGGAACAGGAATTTGTAATTTATCTGTGATATGATGGTTGTGCTCTGGGACATTACTTGCTGGAGTTGGGAGCGGTTTTATCCTTTTTTTTCTTTTGCTGTGTTACATAATTTGAGGACTGACCACTGACATCAGTGGCCGACGGAAATGAGGAGAAGCAGATTCACTGGGACAGCTCTGGGATCTGGATCGTGCCTGTTTGAGCATGTTCTATCTTGTCTGTCTCATTCGGTGACCTTTTTTTATTCATTTCCTTCTTTAGACGAAAGACGAACCGCCTGCAAGCGAAGAAACAAAGGAGGAGGTAGAACCTAAAACCACCAAGGTAAACTGCCTTCTTTCTTTTCACCTGGATTTTGTGAGTGTGGTGTCGTGTTTGGCCCTTTTCCATCTATGGAGCTCCAGACGAATCGGGACACTTGCACAGTTTCTCCGTTTTATTTCCCTTACCTGCCGTGTTTCTATTCACACTTATCACATAAGTAAAGCTTGAAAAGAACTAACCAGAAAGAACACATTTAAGTTTATTATTAAAAATATAGGAAATGTTGCTGAATGGTGCTGATCGTACCATTTGTGTGCAGAGAAACTAGGTTACAAAATAGATCCCGACAGTGCATCTTTGTCCAAGTTCGTATGGAGCTCAGTCTTCGGTCTTCTTCTTATGAATAGTCTCTTCAGCTCATTGTCGTCGTCTTGGCTTTTGTGATGCCCTTTGTCTCTTTAACCTGAACGATCCGTTTTCAATAAGCCAAGTGTCTCCTCCAGGCGGCAGAATATCTGGTGAAGTATGTGGGGGATAGCGTCGCAACAGATTTGGCCTCCTCCTCTGGGCTACACGGGATTAGTCCGTCAACCACTATGGACGACGACGTCTTCATGGACGGGACCCTCAGGGAGGTGGACGAGGTGGCCGAGAGGGAAGAGATTAAAGTCAGCCCGGGAGCTGTCAGGCAGGAAGTGTACCAGGCCATCAGTGACAAGAAAGGGACGCTCATAATCTTGAAGGAGGCCGACGATAAAGTAGACGCCGAGGGCAAAGAGACGGGCGCCGCGGGTGAAGAAGAAGAGCCGGCTCTCCGCGGAGAGGCTGAAGGCGGGGAAAACGAAGCAGTTATGGGAGTTGAGATATGGAGTCCTAAGATGGAAGCTAATGGCGTGACTCAGATTAAAGGTACTGACTCGCCTAAAAAGGCCATGGCGTCCTGGATATCCGAGGTGGTGAAGACCGAGGCCACCGAGGTCGTCGGTGCGTCGACGAAAGCCTCCGACGCCCCGCAGCCGGGTGAAGAGGTCCAAACAGAGCAGTCAAAGTCCGGCCCCTCTCAGATTACACCTCCCGAATCCTCGACTACATCCTTAGCAGTGGTACTGTATGAATCCTAAAATGAGCCGCTCTGTTTTGGCTGCCTCCCTCCACATCTCCACCACCGCCCTCCGCCTGCCCCATTGCCTTCAGCAGCAGCCAAACCAGTCTAACAGCAGTGTAACCGAGCGCTCTGCATGGCTAACGGTCCCTCAACGCTCAAAGATCACAGCTCTCCTAACTGCCGGTTTGTGTTGCAATCAAGCCCACTGCTTCTCTCCCAATACAACCGTTTTTATTTTATTTTTTTCAGTTGGTTGACACTAAAACCCGCTCGACTAGCCTTAGCAGCTGGCTCCCACGGCTGATAAGGAAAGAAATGTCTGCCTCCTGTTTGTTTTCTGCCCTTTTGCTCCGCTGCTCCATTCCTTTCTTTCAGGTCTGTTATCAGTTCCCTTAAAGCAGTGACTTAACCCCGGCTTAGTGCCACAGCTGCAGCTTTCCCCACTTCATCCTCCACCAAAAAAATCCCCTTCTGCCTCCGGAACTAGTCAGGGGAAAAAAGAATTGTATGGGCCTACCTGAAAAGAGATTACACTTTTCTTAAGTAACCATTTTGCAAAAGCAGATTAGCGGATGTTTTCTGCTGGTGGATCCAGCGTTCTGACGCTCATTTAAAGGTTTAAGGATTTACTGCGCGATGGTATTCCATACAATGTTTCCTTTTTCAGTCCTTTCATTTTCCCCTCGCCCCCTCCCTCACTCTGCCTTCACTCTTTGTCTGGTGTTCACTGTGACTTTTGACTTTCCTCTCTTTTCCTTTCTTGTGTTTGTCCATCCTGTCCACATCTCAGTCTACGCTGGGATGGGTTCCCTCCTCCGAAAAGGTGACCACTCATCTTCACAATAAAACACTGCAAACAATGGTTTTGGTGGGACTGAAACTTAAAATGTCTTTGGATATCCGTGCCTGTCTTAATTCTATAATGAATGTATAACCGACACAACAGTTCTCCTCTATCAGGTGTGGTGTGAGACAGCCCTGGGCTGAGTGGATCTTAGTAATTGAGAAGCAGAAACATCCTCTAATGCGATCGTTGTCCTTCACAGGGACCCCCTGAACCAGAGGAGAAGGTGGTGGTTGCCACGGAGACGGAGGCAGCACCGGCAGAGTCGACAGGCCCAACGGTGAATATCCCGTCCACAGAGGCTGTAAAGGCCGAGCCGCCGCACCCTACAGTCACATTTATGTCAGCAGAGCCTGCAGAGGGAGAGCCAGATGACGTACATGTGTCACGAGAAGATATTCCTGGCATCAGTTCAGGAGATGCACCAGCTAGACCTGGTCTTGCAGGCGCTGCACCGCTTTCAGAGCCGCTTCGACAGTGCGCATCTGTGGAGCTCGCAGCGGAAATACAGCCGCCGGCGACTCATTTAGAGTTAGATGAGAGTTTGTCTGCAGTGCTGACCTCAGCAGAAGATAAAATAGATGAGGAGGGAGAGGCGTTTATGGAAAAACATGGAAATTATAGTTGCGGATTCACTGTTGCTGCTGCACCCGTCGGATGTGGTGAAAATGAGGAGAAGCTGCTTTTGACAAACGGCGAACACAATGAAGAGGAAGAGGCAGCCGAGAGTTGTTTGGAGGCCTTGGAGGAGGAATTATTGGGTTTAAATGACACCGGGGAGAGAAAGCACACAGAAGTAGATGGGAGGAGAGTCCAGTTCTCCAATCAGGTGCAGTATTTCGAGGAACACGTGTTCCCCCCCGGGATGGAAAATGGTTTTGAGGAGGCGAACAAAGAGAGGGACAAATGCTCACGAGCCGAGGATGAGAGCCAAAAAAGCTCTCCGGACAACTTGAAACGTTTGCCCTTTGAAAAAGAGAAATACTACCGTGCACAGATGGACAGGTCAGAAGATGGAGTGGAGACAACAGATGGAGAAGAGGAAGCACCGGAGGAGGAGCATGGTGAGCAAGAGCTGAATTTGAAACTTGCCCAATACTGTCTCGCCGAAAAGGTTCCGGAAGATCTGGTGTCAGAGGAAGAAATAGTGCACGCTGAAGAAAAGGGAGAAAAAGAGGATGAGGAACCGAAGGCCATCTCTCACAAAGTGACTCTGACTGAACCCTTTGCCTCCGAGGGCCGGCTCAGCCCTCCACCTCCAGCAGTGACTCGGTCGGAGGTAACCCGGCATCAGCTCGAAGGGGTGGGGGCCCCCCAACCTCGGCCCTGCAACCTCACCGCCCCCCCCTCCCTCCTGCCAACACAATCTGCCACTAATAATCAGGGCAAAACTCGGCCGATAGCATGGACATGCGTCTAATTTCACAGTGTGTTGCGGAGCAGATTGGGGGACCTCTTAATACAATGTGGCGCACACACCTGATTGAAACCTTGGGATTTGCATTACCCAGCATTCACCTCTTCACCGGAACAGGGACTCTTAATGCATGACTGCATGCTCTTTTGGCTTAGTTTATTAGCATGCGGCATTTATTTGTGTTAATTTGATTTTGTGTACGACCGAGTGGAACGTTTCTAAAAGCAGTTCACAGCGGAGCCTTTTCAGAAATCCCAGTTAATTGAATTGGACCACGGATGGTCCTGCTCTGCTCCCCCTGCATGCATTTACTTGTGTGGTTTTCCTTTTTGTCCATCAGGGTTGCGACGTCGTCGAGGTGGGAACCAAAGAGGTGCCCGTAGTCCACACGGAGACAAAAACGATCACCTACGAGTCTGCAGAGGTAGAGAAGAGCACAATACCTCCATTTTACCTCCTGCACCATTTTGAAAAACATGACGGAAGAAAGAACTCCGCCATAAAAAACAAAGCTGTAATTTCTGTTATGTACACACCTCACATTCAGAGTTTATTAGCATTTGCTCAGAGTTGCGTGTCTGTGTCCGCCTAATGAGTGGAATGAAATATTAACGCTCTGTTTGGCTCTGTGCTACCTCCCTCAGGCTAAATGCCCCACTGTCTTCGTATGCAGAGTGGGATTTTAGATCTTTCTGGTGAAAACTGCTGCAGCCGTAAAGCACTGTAGTAAGAGCAGTGGTAGCGATTAGCTGGTGAAGACAATGCAGCTTTTAACAGTCCCAAAGAAGGCTATTCGACTGTGTTGGCTTGGGACAAAAAATCACTTAATGCAGCTTCAACACAAATTTCTGTTGCATTCATATTTAATAGGAACCATTAAAGCTTTTGCTTTATCCCGAGTAGGAATGTGAAATGTAGTGTTTTGCTCGTCACAGGTGGAGACTAATGGCGACGTGGACCCTGGGGTGTTGCTGAGTGCTCAGACAATCACCTCGGAAACCACCAGCACCACGACAACCACACACATCACAAAGGTCAGGGTTCATCTATGGTCCTTTTGGGTTCATGACACTTCTCTACGCGGGCCGATGCACGTCTGCGCCAGCCGCTCTCTGCTGCCGAACCGAAACGCGCGTAATGCGGGCTCTGCAAGTTCATGAACAGCTGTTTTGTCCCAAAAATCCAAATCGTAATAAAATGTTCAAGTCCCACTGAATTTTATTTTTACAATTCCATTCGAGGAACTGAGTAGATAGCATGTGAATGTATATGCCGTGTGTTGTTATTTGTGCCTTGAAGTTTAAGTGGTCTTTCTGCTCTCTGTTGGTCAGACGGTGAAAGGAGGAATATCAGAGACAAGAATTGAGAAAAGGATTGTCATTACAGGGGACACAGACATCGACCACGATCAGGTCTCTCTCGAGTTTTCACACTGATTCTAATTCATTCTCCTCTTACCTCGTTATTTTACTTTGCTTGTTAAGTCAATAAATGGATTTGAGCAATGACCATGAACAAGTGCTGGTGTCCTCAGGACCTCGTCTTGTACTTTTCGAGCATGTGACGTAGACGGGATAAGCATGTGATATTTTGCACAAAACATTAACTCATGACTTTTAACAATTACTGAAAGTGTGACACATGTAACTAAAAGTGGCTTCCCTGTTGGCTCATCTTGACTCACAATGAAACATCCCTGCTCCCTCCCTTCCTCCCTGCCTTCCCCGTTTTCTGTCTCCCCCCCTGGTGACCCCTTCTGGCACTGCACTCCTGTATGTAGGCTCTGGCTCAGGCCATAAAGGAGGCTAAAGAACAGCATCCTGACATGTCAGTGACCAAAGTAGTGGTACATAAAGAGACAGAGATCACGCCAGAGGAGGGGGAGGACTGACGCAGGTAAGACAACAAAGGTCCCAGTCCTGGTCCCGTCCCTGTCCCGTTTCAGTCAGTCTGGTTTTGATGTGGTCGGACTGGTTGTTGTGTTTTTTTTTTTTAAGCTGGTCTCCATTGTCGGGCACGCAGCTTTTCCCGTCGGCAATTCTTCTCACGTGCACGGACAGCCCTGCTTCTGTAGCACTTACAGCTAATGCATCATGCTGTTGTGTTTGTACGCACGCGCACACACAAAGCGCTTTAAAGCGATGCTCCCGATGCTCTCATGCAAGCTCTTGTAATAATGTGAATGCAACACCTCCCCCTGCTGGAAAGAAACACGGTCCTATTGTTAATGAGAGAGTGTACTGTGTACTGAACATGTGACGCAGTGTCTCTCTCTGTGTCGGTCTCCCTTCCTCTTTGTAAAGAAAATTGGTTGTTGCAGCTGAGGGAAAACGTTAAATCTGAGACGGGTCTAGTTGTGCTTGGAATCCGATCCTGAGTCCACAGATCTACCTTAGGTTTTCTACTCGGCCTTTACCAGACAAAGCATTTACTGTTAACCATAGCGGTTTTAAATGTACTTTTTACTCTGCAATTAAATGATCAGCATAATTGATTCAATAAAACATCAACGAATAGTTGCACCTCACCGCCGCCTACGTGGAGTCGTTTCACGGAGCGATGTTGAGTCATCGGGGGAATCCTGACCTTTTCAAGACGTGTCTCGGAAACGCGTTCTTCTAAAACAATGTGTGACATGCGGCTTCTTCAGTTGCACTCTTACCGTGTGTGTGTGTGTGTGTGTGTGTGTGTGTGTGTGTGTGTGTGTGTGTGTGGGTGTGGGGACGGTGGGGGGGGGAAATAGTTTCAACAGTCCTTTTGGTGGTGTGATTGCAACCTTCACATATGCAGCCATTTGTGTTGCTGGCAGCGTGTGGGGGGAGGGGGGCGGTTGTGTAGGGGAACCTCGCTTTGCACCGCACGGCCGGAGCACGTCGCAACCTCGCCGCCTGCTTTCTCTCCACGGTTCTTAATCTGGAGAACCTGAAGCGGTCCGGTTTTATTCACAAGCTCTTGGCTGAACTGATCCCAAGGCGCACAGGTTTGGGACGAGGAGCGTGCGTGTGTGAGCATGCGTGACTCACCAGATGAGAATGCTTGGCTTTGTGTCTACGGAACTTGCCCCCAGTCCTTTTGTGTCTGCGTGTGTGTGTGTGTGTGTGGTTCTAACACACCGATATTAACACACAAGAGTATTCTGAATAGCAAAATTAACTGGATACTAAAGGTTTCTTCTGGTGTTTCTTTCCACTGTAAATACACACAGCGCGTTTTGGCCAAACAGGAAAATGTGTAGAAGTCGTGTGTCAAAAACAGTTGGAGTCCAACAAACACGCACGCAGGGCAATGTCCCGCACACCTCGCTTTATCCACCACACGTCCACCCACGCTGCCGGGATCAGGCTCACGTTAGATTCAGCTCATTAGATAATGTTCAATGTTTTTCAATATTAGGCCACAGATGTTGTCCTGTAGATTCTAACCCCTTTTAATGACTCATATTTAATGAATTAATCTTAATGTCTGTGTGCTTTTGAATTTAACACATTAGCTACAAGCCAGAATGTAGCCAAGGAGCCTGTGTGTATCTATGTGGTGGTGTGCTTTTCTGTGTAACTGTAGGACCCCAGTGAATCTATTTATGGTGTTAAAACTACATCAATCCTTTGAGTGGGCTCATATCCAGTGTCTCTCGGGGTTCTCTGTGGTGCTGAAGGGTCACATGTGATTGAATAAGCCCCATGTGGTCATTTATGTACTAACTGCTGCCCTTTTTCTTTTCTTTTTTTCTTCTTCCCTCCCCTGTTCTTTCAGGATTGAAAAACCTCGAGGGCTCTTTTCTCATCAACCGCCCACAATCCAACATCCAGAACTCCACATTTTACCCCGGGACTCCCAGACGACTGGAACGGCTCCCGCTCTCCTAATGCTGCCGCCAGTCAACTCTCACCTGCAAATTAAATAAAAGCACCTTGCATGGGAAGGACGCAATGTTGCATTATAATACAAATTGAAAGATTATACTGAAAAAAAGTTATGTTTTTTTTGTTTTTTTAATTTAGTTTTTAAAGTGGTTATCGACCCGCACGCCGAATCTCTGCGTGCGCAGCAAGCAAACCCCCCCCCGTCCCCCCGCTCCCCCCGTTTGCTGACACACTGCCTTACGACTCTTAATGCATTTCTATGATTGCCGAGAACACATGGCAACGTTTTTATTTATGAATTGAAGCCATCACTCCAGAACACGTGTCCACAGCATCCGCTGGTTTAACCTGTCACCCCGCTCTGCGCACATCGGCGCTAATCGTCTCTCACACCTGATGTTTTTAGTCACGTCTACTTGAATTGCATTTCTCCTCTTTTTTTTTTTTTAAAGACTATTTTTAGCGGGTTTTTATCGTGTGTTTCTTCGGTCGGCGATTTGATTCCACCACGGTGTGTTTTTAAGGAATGGCGGTTTTTAGTTTTGTGTTTTTCGGTTTGAATGTCCCTCCGGGGGCTCTGAATGTTCTCTCCTCAATGGACGGTCGAGTTCCGAGTTCCGTCCAGGGCTCGGGACGCCGAGCTCTGCTCAGATGAGATGCAAAGCCAAGAGAGATCTGTAAAACCCCCCACACTCCCCGTACCCCTCCACCCTGAACATGTCAACTATATGCCTCCATCATCTGTTCAACTCTATCTGAATAACCGAGTATTGTTCGTGTACCAGCCATGTTTTCCTCAAAAAAGGTGAAATAAAAGTGGCAAATGCATTTGTTTTAATCTTCCTTTTTTCCCCCTCAAATATGTTGACCACAGGACTGAAACTCACCATTTATTGAGCGTCAATGTCTTTTAGCACTGATATTAGATCAGTGTTAAATACTTGCATGTCAAAGTATGTCAAAGTTACTGTTTCCCTTTAAATAAGGCACTGGTTATTTGATGGGTATCACAATACCCCAGAAATGGTTTGACCCTTAAATATTAATTTCTAATTTTGGATTTTTTAAATTTTATTTGCCGAATTAAAACATAAACTAGAATACATGGGCTCAGGAACAGGCCTAGTTAAAGGAGCCATTGCAGATTTCATATCCCCGGGCACTAAAAAATCCTGATGGACAACGTGTTGTTATTCAAATCTTCGAGCTTAAACCAGAATTACAAACGAATACACAGATGGAAGGTGGTTGGATCTGTAAATTATAGTCAATTTATTATTAATCAAACTAAATGTTTGAAACACTTAAAGAAGCGCCCGCGTGGTAATTAAGACAGGATTTTTAGAGCCAAGTGTAATTATGCTGAACGCACGCAAGCGTTTAAAGCTCCGCCCGCTGTGAACGTGCGTGTGAGCCAAAGAGAAACAAAAGAAGGGAGCTCTCACTCTGACTCTGCTGCGAATTGAGAGGACAAGTTGATCAATTTGTCAAATGTTTTTTCCACGAATAATCTGTTTTATTGACTGAACAATATTTAACTAATGGCAATGAATAAGATGTACTGCAACTGTAATATCTAGGTATTAGATAATGGAGAGGTCCCTAAACTGTTAATACATGTTAATCAAAGGCTACAGGTTCAATGACTTTTTTTATTTGTGCAATAAATGTCTTGTTCGTTCTTTTTATTTTTATTTATTATTTTTATTTCCCAAGTATGTGTACAAAAAATAAATACCCCAAAACAATAGAATGGCTAATACAAATGGCAAAGCTGTATAATAAAGGTAAACACATATATAACTAGTGTAGCTGGAAAATATATGTCTAAATAGATATATTTAAAAAGGAAAAGCACACAATGTCTGTATATAATTCAAATGGTTTCTGTAAAGAGCAAAAATACATAATGTAAAGGAAATTGTTGTAGTAGTAGTATAACAAAAGAAGTAAAACAAAGCAATATAAAAATATCAATAATGTGCAAACCAAATGCACACAATGCCCCAAAAAATAAACTGGTCAAAGGGTCATATATGGGAAATGGCAAATAGTTCTGTATTTATAATAGCAAACCTTATTATATGTAAGTGTATACCGTTCACTCCAAATTATTATGTCCATTGTATTGCACATTAAGTACCACTTTAGCACATTATCAAATAGCAGAACCAGGTGTATTTCCAGGTGAAAGTTAATATTGTGATGTTACTTTGGCGCACAACAACAAACATTAAAACTAAGAGCCTTGGAATAGTAGCCTCCAGAGATATTAAATTTCCTTCCCCTTAAATGACTGCCATTAGGACACGTCTTGTATTCTCCACTATAGAGGGCACTTTATCATGTTTTCCCTTTTGGAATGGCACCCCAAAGAGCACTTTGTCTTGCTTGATCTACCATGGGATCTTCTTTTTTTAAATAAACCGCATTTGTTTTGTACAGATTGGACACACGCCGTGAACATTCTAATTTTCTCGATTCAAAAACATGTTTTGTTTTATGTAGCGCAACGCCGCAGAAAGCGTGAGTCCTCCTCTCGCCGCGGAGACGATCTCCGCTGCAGTACCCTCTCCGGTGCCGTAGGGGGCGGCAGAGCAGCGCGTCGCTTCCTGTGAAGCCCGATAGTCACAACAAGAGGAGGAAGAGGAAAAAACGACAGCTCCGGACCGTCGTCGACTGCCTTGCGTGACAACACAAGGATCGCGTTCCGGGCTTTCAGGTATTAACATTTCGTACTCCCCGAGCGAAGCGTAGCGGGAAAGCACGCGTCGTGTTTTTGGACTCAGCCGTTAGTTGGCTCGCGCGCGTAGCCGCGTGTTTTCCTGCCGGCTCGTGAACTGCTTTTTTTTTTTTTCTCTCTCTTTTTTTTTTTTTTTTTTTTTTTTAAAGGCACCAGGAACATGCCAATGGAGGCTCGCGGACCAAGATGGCTGGGCGCAGTGAAATGTGAAATATTCCTGCTGAGGTTATCCTTTTCCTGCACGCCCCGCGCGACTGTCACGCGAACTCTGCGGCCGAAACGAGTGGCTTAAGTTAAGCGGAGTCCGTCTGTTTGTTTCTGTTTGCGTTTAGGTCATTTTACAGGCGCTGCTGCGGCGTTTACTGCTGCCAGGCCTTCGTGTGTGGGGCTTTTCTTTTTTTTTTTTCCTTTTTTTTTTTTTTAAACAAGCATTTCTGCATGATCGATTCACCTACTTCTGTTTAATCTCTGCAATTCTATCGGTCGTCCGTCAACAGAAGCGATGCAAACGTTAGTTTGCAAGTTACTGCGATAATCCCGTGTGAATGTTTTGCTCCTGAATGCACCCTTTTTGTATTCTCGCAAGAAGCATGCAAGTGCAGAGCCCCTCAGCTCGTGCAGGTTACGTGCGTGCCCTACTTCTCGTGCAAAGCTAAAATATTTGTGTTTATTTCCCCTGCAGGTAGCTCCGATTTCACCTGCAGCATGTCTGACTTACTGAGATATATTGACTATGATCACAAAGCCACCTTTCTGAAGATGCTCAACCAGCAGAGGATGGAAGGCGAGCACTGTGACGTGGTGGTGGTGGTGGAGAACATCGAGTTCAGGGCTCACCGCTGCGTCTTGGCGGCCTGCAGCAACTACTTCAAAAAGCTCTTTAAGAAACAGAGCGAAGAGGACAACTCCATCGTGGAGCTGGACTTCATCCGCTCGGACATCTTCGAGGAGGTGCTCAACTACATGTACACAGCCAGGCTCGCCGTGAGGAAGAAGGACATCAACATGATGATGTCGTCCGGCCAGATCCTGGGCATCAACTTCTTGGATAACCTGTGCACCCAGAAACGGGAGCTGACCAACATGAAGACGCGGGAGAACCAGGCTCCGGGGTGACCACGGGGCTGCGAGCTCAGGACGCCATCCTGAAGGAGCTGGCCATGGAGGAGGTGCGGAAGAACAGCTTCTACGACCAGGGGATGGAGGGGATGGGGCCCGGCGGTTCTCACGTGTCTCAGCCGCACAACTACAACACCAACATGGGCAAGGACCCCCACAGCCACGGCTGGGGCTCCTCGTCCACCAGCGACATGAAGCTGGAGTACCTGCTGTACGGCCACCGCGACCACGGCTCCTGCCAGGGCGCCGGCGCCAAAACCCTGGATCACAACGCCAAAAAGGAGCGCCTGCTCACCGCCAACCGGCCCTACGCCTGCGAGCACTGCCCCAAAGCCTTCACCACCGCCGCCCACCTCAAGGAGCACCTAAAGATCCACTCCGGCTTCAAGCCCCACCGCTGCGTGGTGTGCGGCAAGGCCTTCATCCGGGGGCCCGACCTGAAGCGGCACGAGCGGGTCCACAGCAACGAGCGGCCGTTCGGGTGCCAGATATGCGAAAAGGCCTTCAAGCACAAGTCCCACCTGAAGGACCACGAGCGGCAGCACCGGGGCGAGCGGCCGTTCAACTGCGGCTCCTGCGAAAAGGCCTTCATCAAGGCGTCGGACCTGAAGCGCCACTGGAACACCATGCACAGCGGCAACCCCCGCAGACAGATGTCCCTGTCCCCCGCCGCCTCCCAGCACGGCCAGGCGGAGGCCGCCGACCAGAGAGACTGGAAATTGGAGACCGGGCCACATTCGCATAACTCGGGGGACTGCTGAGCGCCGGCGGACGCGCCGGGTCTCGGGCGCGCTGGTGGTCCGCATACATCCACAGCATTCATTTAAAACTAAACGACAATTAGAAAATGGTTTAAGAATGTATGCGCGCACATAGGGACCTGCTTCCCTGCGTTGGCCTGACAGCCCGTCCGCCCGTCACTGAGACGCTTATTGTTGTGTGTAGTCAGATCCTTTATCATCTTCATGAGGAGGTGGGGGCGGGCTGGATATGATTATGTGGTCTACATCTCACTAGAGTTAGTCCGAAACCCCGGTTTTTCTTTCGCCGTATAAAACCAGGAAAATGTTTAGTCCACTCTACGTATATTTTTCACAAAGCGTCGTTGCCGTGTAGACTGGGGGGTTCTCATAACATTAATTCTTTTACTTTTTATGGGATATGTAACATTTAAATGTTTGTTTAACCTTTACTGGATTTTTAGGGAGCTAAAAGAGAGAAACCGAACGGTCGTAGGGAGGGGGGGAGGGAGGGAGAGGGGGGGGGGGGAGATTTTTCTGCATAACATTTGTTGCATTGAGTATATTCATGTGGATGTTTTTAATGGACGTGTTTAGTTGTATTGATTGATATTACACTGTAAGAGTAAGTCACCATTTTGCATTTGATGCAGATGATACCAAAGTCTTGGGCATTTGACGGATTGTCTTCGCGGACTCTCCCGCCCAAGCAACCGGCTAACTAGATTTACTGTTATACAGTATAACTGTCATCCAGCTATCAACAGTTAATGATAGATGTCTGTATATACTGTAGCGTAGTTCGTTGCACAATTAGAGTACACAGTAATGAAATATGCACATATAACATTGTCCTACTCCTACACTTGACAATAAACACCATTTGCTGTGTTTTATGGTCTTTGCAAAAATTTGTTTTTTGTTGATGAGATTATTTAGGCTCTTGTTTTGTCGGGGGGGGGGGGGTTTATGTGCCACACCCAAAACCACTCAAACACCTGAAGACTGGGTCATGTGAAAGATTATTCTGTCACGTCGCAGCGGTCAAAGTCCGCTGACGGTGCAGTCGGTGTCTTGTGGGGGGGGTCACAGGTCAGAGATATCGCTCCTCTGCAGTTGCCACATTGGTGAAATTGGTGGGTTTGTTGTGGTTGTAGCGGAAAGCTTTGTGGACCCCGTGTTCCCTTTGAGGACGTCTACCTGTGGCGAGCGTTCAGTGGGTAAAAGCGAAACTAAAAGTTCCAACTTTTCTGGGTTTTTCTTTTTTACAAACCAGGAGTGCAGCAGAGCCCTTTGAAAAATGAAATGGGAAGACGTGTCGTTTGCTTAGATAGCAGCAAACATGTAGCTTTTAATGGCCACTGCTGCTGTTTTTGATTATTGATTCTCCTGCAGATCGCGTCCTCGATTAATCGTTTTGGTCCATAAAATGTCCACCTGTGTTCATCAGATCCTACGGTGAGATCTTCAAAGGTTTGGTTGCGTCCGACCTTCTGTAAATAATATATTTCGGTTACAGTGATGTGACGGACGAGCAGCAGAGAAACCGACACAATTTGTTCGCCTCAAACGCTCTTGTACGACTATTAAAGCGGTTGCTATTAAATCTTTTAACTGACCACGTGTTTCTTTTCTTTTAGTCACGTGAAAGTACACTGGATATCTTTTTACCCTGTTTGCCTCTGACAAAAAAAAAAACTAACCTCCCAGTGACCAGTGTTGTTTTTTTGGGGGGGGGGCGGTGAAAGCACTCAGCACACCACAAAACAAGTCCAAATGCGTCAGCAAAAAAGAACCCTTCTCTCAATACTCCGCCTGCGACCATAGATGGTGCCCTGTTCAAAGAGATTAACCCGTCCTCGCCCAATTTGACTTTTTGGTGGGGACCCCCCCCCCCCCCCCCCTCCCAAGCAAACCATAGGACAGAAGGAGTTTGTGGGGGGGCGAGTTCATCATAGGAAGCCGCTGCAGAAACATCTGCTGCTTTGTGAAATGTATGCTCTCTCACACCTCGGTGTTTTCCATATATTTCCATCTGGTGCACCATCAGGGGGGGGGGGTCACAGTCTCTGCTCAGTGTGCACAGAGCAATGCCTATTTATGGGAGTTTGACCACACGGTTGCGGGTGGGAGGGATTTATTCTCAGCTGTCAATGGAGAAAGTCTTCGACCGTCTGTCATTTGGTGGAAAACTGACGTCAGCGTCTGAAGGAAAGGGCGGGACTTACCTCTCTGATGTCACTAGATGCCCTGATTACATTACATTACATTACAGGTCATTTAGCAGACGCTTTTATCCAAAGCGACTTACATTACACTTTAAACCCATGGCTTTTTCACATTTTTGCCTGGGGAGCAATTAGGGGTTAGGTGTCTTGCTCAGGGACACTTGAACATGGGGCAGCCTGGAATCTAGAATCTGATCTGTTTTTTGTGTGTGTGTGTGTGTGTGTATACGTGTGTGTGTGTGTGAGAGTGTGAGAGAGAGAGAGAAAAATAAGAATCAAAGCCAATAAATGATGCAGAATATGGTTTTGCATTTCGTTGTTGGACTGATGGGTCCTGAGTGTGTGTCCCATTGTGTCCTTACTGCCTCTGTGTGTATTTGTAGAGGTCTGACCTGCACTGTGTGTATGATTTACTGTTTGTCGGTGTGTGTGTGTGTGTGTGCGCGTGCCAAGGGATTTAGGTGATCTGGGCTTATTGTGTTTGTATGTATGAGCCTGTGCCTAAGTGCATTTATGTGTGTGCACGCATGTGCAAGTGTGTATGCATGTGTAATGACTCGGGAGGGGGTTGGTGGAGAGCGCGTGAGTGCGTTCACGCATGTGTATGTGCTCACATTGCATAGTTTTTATGTGTTGGTGTGCGCTGCATCATCTGTAATGAGTTCTGCGTGTGCACACGCACGGCCATGTGTGAGTGACAGGCAGCGAGCCAGTGTGCATTCATGCATGTGCCTCTGCGTGTGTTCATCCGTGCTTGTGCGTGAGGATTGTGCATCAGTAGGAGGTTGTGTGTGTGTGTGTGTGTGTCTGTATGTGTGTGTATGTCAGCCTGTATTTGTTTTTATGTATGCATGAGCTGGCATGCGTGTGTGTGCATGCAAATGCACACATCACCACTATTTAGGGAATTTACGTGTCAGCAGGCTGAATTTTATAATGCAGGTACTCCCATGAATGAATATGTGTGTGTGTGTGTGTGTGTGTGTGTGTGTGTGTGTGTGTGTGTGTGTGTGTGTGTGTGTGTGTGTGTGTGTGTGCGGTATACATTAGCATTGTGGGGGCTGTGCATTCAGATTCATGTCTGCATAACTTTATGTGGCTTTCTGTGTGTGTTTTATTCTCCCTTCAGCTTTGGTGTGTGTGTGTGGGCGCGAGTGCACGTGTGCGCGGGGGTGTGTTTGCCTGTGTGTATTTGTGTGCAGTGAACACCCGGTTTCCATTACCCCGGCCGGCGTGGTTCCCTCAGGCGCACCACAAACCTCCCGTCTCCACGCTGGCTCCACCCAGCGCTGCCACAGGCGTCCCAGAAAAGAACAGCGTCTAATTAAAAAAAAAAGACTTTAATTACATTCATCTCATCTCTCACACACACACACACACACACACACACAGTGGGAGATTAAAACAACTGTATACAAACAATTCCATGTGATAAATGGACTTGAAAGGAAAAGCCAGCAGCTTTTAATCAGAGCTGCTGACATTCATGAGCATTACAGCCTCCTGTGATGTCGTCTTCCACTCGAGCGCCATCTGGATTATCTGCAGTTTTTAAGGACTTTTTCGGTCCCTTGGCGTCTTTTCGTGGGACGTTTTATACCTTTTGATCTGAAGAACCCCAAAATCCATGAATCCCCCTTCCAGCTGTGCATCTCCAGTCACTGTACAAACACACTGGGGTCATCACACTGATTTACAGGGCAGCGCTTGCAGTGTGACATTCGCCCATCTTCAGAGCGAATGTCCCGATAAGGAAGATCCGTGAGGAATGTCACCGGGGGGGGGGGAGGGGGGGCGCGTGGGGGGTTCACTCATCACCGTTGGACACAGGAGCTCCTATCTGACCAGCGTCTTCCTTTCCCATGACACCACATAGAAGCAGGTATATTAAACGTGACCCGGTGTGTCCCCAGACAAGGCGCGTCTTTGTTGACCGGGCGTGGCGTTGACCTGCCCAGTCAGACCGGGGAAGGGGAGGGGGGGGGGGGGGGCGCTGCTTATCGGCCAGCCATCTCTGCAGGGCCGGGTCAGGCCACGATCGGCCCGCAGGAGTCATTGTTCACGGGGAGGACCAGATGCTCCAGCTGAGAGATTACCATCACATCACTCCTCAGCGGGGAGTCCCGGCCTCCTTACCTTCTCCCTACTGCCCCCCCCCACCCCCACCCGCTTTTATGCATTTGGTACTCCACTCCTCTTATCTCCATCTGCCCTTTTCCTCATCTCTCCTTCCTTCTCCCCTGCTGTCCTCCCTTGTTTTCTCCTACCATCCCTCAGCCCTTGTTTCCTTACTCCACTCCTTCCTCTGTCCTTCTCTGTTGTTTCCTCGTCCTCATCTCTCAACGTTCCTTTCTTTTCTTTCTCCCCCCACTCTGCTCTTCTCTCATTTACGTCTTTCCTGTTTCTTTCCTCTCCTCCTATCTTCCTTTCCATCCTTCCTTATTGTCTCCTCTACCCTGTACTTGTCTTGTCCACTTGCTTTTCTCATTTCTTATCACAACCCTCACCTGTTTTCTCCTTCCTTTCATTCTTCTTTTGTCATTCTCCATCAACTTTCCTGTCCTCCCCGAACCTTGTTCTCTAACCTGTTATAGCCTCTTATTTCCCCCCTTTCCTCCCTTCTCTCCTCCCCCCCCCCCCCCCCCCCATTCTTCTTCTTGTCCCACAACCTCCTCCCCAGCCTCCTTCCATCTCTCCCCTCTTCTCGGCTCAACTGAGCGCTGTCTTTGGTGGGACACAGTCAGCACTGTTCTCCTCCTCCTCCTCCTCCCCTTCCTCCTCCTCCTGCTCTGCTGTTATCGGTCTCAGTCATGGAGGTCTCACTCTAATGAAATTCCCCCCGTGATCACACAGACGGATCTAAAGG